CGTTTGAGAGAGACGAGGGATTAGAGGCGGCGGTCTTTGAAAAAATGGGGAGGGTTTGGGGGGTCGTTTAGAATTAAAAATGGTAAGGGGGAGCGTTGATCAAAATGATCAACGGCTCAGATTAAAAGGGACACGGGCCGGTTCGGGTGATTGGGTGTTGGGTCGGGTGGATTAGAAAATTGGGTTCAATTTGGGGCTGAGATTCTGGCCCAATTCCGGTGAAAATTGAAATGCAAAAAGGGCTAACTTTTAAATAGCCACTTTCCCCTTGTTTAATTTATAAAAAATAGCAAAAATAATTTCTGGAAGTAAATCAAACGTGCTAAAATGATTAATAATACATAATTATCAAATTAAAAATACTGGGGTCAATTTTATAAATATAATTACAATTAAATCTTAAAAGGGGCTAATATTGCAATTATGTGCAATTTAATTTTAAAAAATACTAAATAAATTTGTAAAAAATATGCAAAAATCATGTTAGCCATATTTTGGTGTAAATATGAGAATAAAAAATAGGTTGTCCACCAAAATGATAACTTTGGGAATAATTATTGGATTTTATGGTATAAAAATAGGCAATAAATTGGTTTTAAAAATCATTAAAAATTTGGTAAAGTACCAAAACTCTTGTGTGTGCTCATATATGCACATATATGTTATTTTGAAAGTATTTTGGGTATAAAAAATATTTAGGGAAAAATTGGGTATCAACAATAAACACAACAACACAATTAAAGGCATGATGTGGGTCTAAGTCTACCCAGACATAACATAGAATATAGCTACGCACGGACTCTCGCAGCTAGTGCGTACGTAGCTCCCCACATAAGTAATACACAACAAGATACACATAAGGGGATGAGTTCCCTTTTATAAGGTTAGGCAAGAGACTTACATCATTTCCATGCTCACTTCCGGTCCACTAATCCGCTCTAAAAGCCCTAAGTCGATGGCGAACAATCCAAAACTAGTCAAATATTATATAATTTAATCAATATATGCTCAAAAGTCCTTATTTAGCTATTAGAGTAATTAGACAAACCAAATTAGAAGATTCTCAAAATTTGCCCTCGGTCCCACGTGCCCAAATTCCGTAAATTTTTGAAGATAAACATTACCCTTAGCCTCACGAACTCAAATATACAATATTTTACTTAATTCCATAACTAAATTTCGTGTTCAAGTCTCATTTTTACCCAAACTCTAGGTTTTTCACAAATACCCCACGTTTTCACAAATTTCCCATGGTTAATTTACCTAAAATCCGCATAATTATCTTGAAAATGGGTGGGAGTTACTTACCTTAGAATGTTGATGAGAATCCCCCTCTAAAGTGCTCTAAGAAATCTTCCAAGACTAAATGAAAATGTGAGGAAAAAGGTCTAAGACTCAGATTAAAAGCCTCACCGCCCCCAGCAATTTCCGTTTTTGTGGACCTTGGGTCGCACCTGCGATGCTACAACAGCGGTAAATCCATCGTAGGTGCGGTCCTCACCCAGCTTGGCCAAGTCCGCTTCTGCGGAGCTGGTCCGCATCCGCGCCTGCAGAGAAACAACCTCTCCTGCGACCCCAAGCCCCCTTGGCCTAGCCCGTACCTACGACCATCTTCCTCGCACCTGCGAGCTCGCACGTAGGGCTGTGCATAATTTGGTAAATACCGAATTACCATATCAAAAATGAAAATTTTGGTATTCGATATTCGATGTTTTGGTATTCAATTTGGTATTTGGTTTAAGTTCTGAAAAAAAATCGGTATTAGGTATGGTATTTGGTATTTTAAATGAAATATCGAAATAGCGATACCGTACCGAAATATATATTATATTACACAATACACATTTATTATTAATAACATAAATATAAGAAATCTAAACTTTTACTTTCATTTATTCTCTTCATCAATTAACTCTAAGCTAGTAACAAGATATATCTCTAAGTTTGCTCTCTCTAAGTTTGTATTTGTTGGTTTTGGGCAAAACTTTTGTCAACAAACGTTTTTAGTTTTGTACTTTTGAGTACTTTAATTAAGAATATTATTGTCTATGACTCTATGCACTAGTTAGTATTCAAACCGAATAAACCAAAGTAACGGTACTGAATAAACCGAAATCGAAAGGAGAAAAACTTAACCATACCATTTAATTAGGTACGGTAATGGTATAACATTTTACGAAACCAAATACTAAAAATACCGAACAGAAATGTCTAAATACTGAACTGTACCGACCGACGAACACCCCTAGTCGCAGGTGCGGTAAAGTCTCTGCTTTTGCGACCACTGGCTAGCCTACTCTAGGCCACTTCTGCGAACGAGGGGCCTCTTCTACGAGGTCGCACCTGTAGCCAAAACCACGTAGGATCGAACGCACCAGAACTGGATCACCAACAGTCCCCCGTGCCAAATTCTTAGTTCGATTCCATTCCATTTTGCATCCGGGGCCTCCGAGACCCCATCCAATTACACTCACACATCCAAAAACATAATACGGACCCGCTCGCGCTATCGAAATACAAAAATAACATCTAGAAATATGAATTGGACGAAATACATGAATCAAATCATGAAACTCAAAACTTCTAGAAATGCTTCCGCGCGTCCTATTCCTATCAAATCAACTTGGAATGACGCTAAATTTTGCGTGCAAGTCATAAGGCACCATACGGAACTATTCTCAGGCTCAAAATCTCAAACAGACCTTGATAACACCAAAGTCTACTCCAAACCACACTTAAAGAACTTGGAAAACCTTCAATGCGCCAACTTCCAATATTAAGCGTCAAAACGCTCCGGGGTCATCTGAAACCCGATCCGAACACAAAACGAAGTCAAAAATCATCATACAAACCTATTTGGACCGTCAAATCCTAGTTCTGAGGCTGTTTACTCAAAATTTTAACTCAAGTCAAACTTAACCATTATAGGCTACTATTAAGGACCTAAGTGTTCCGATTTCAACCCGAATCCTTCCAAAGCCGAACCAACCATCCCCGTAGGTCATGAAATAGTCAAAGCACATACGGGAGTCTTAAATTAGGGGAACGAGGATTAAGAAAGAAAAACAACCGTCGGGTCGTTACAGTTTCCACTCCAATTTCCTTGATTATTGTTACTATGCCAATTCCCTTGATTGTTAGAACTCCCATTGCCATGGTTATTTTGTGGTCACTATTGTTGTTGGTTTGGGATTTGGTTCTTTGCCCTTGAAAGTTGTTGACATATTGCACTTCCTCTTCTTTCTCATTATAAGAATCATCTTGATCAAAACCGCCATCATCTTGCACATATTTCTCCGCTCGGGTTTGCATTTGGGGATCCTTGGTCCTCTTGTTGTTTACCAAAACATTAACTCTCTCCATAGCATGAACTTGCTTAGGAGCTTGCACTTGATTGAGTTGGGTCTTTGCTAGTTGAGTCATGGTTGTGGTCAATTCATCAATGGCTTGCCCATGATCTTGCAACTCTTTGTATAGGTGGATCATATTCGGATCACCTTGTGGGACATTGGCCCGGGATTGCCAAGCCGATGACGTCTCTGCCATCTCATATAGAATGCCACACGCCTCCGCATAAGGCGTAGTTATGAAGTTTCAGCAGCTAGTTAATTCATTACACATTGGTTGGTTGTGTTAATCCCATGATAAAAGGTTTGTTGCAACATGTTTTCAATCATATCGCTGTTGGGACATTCCTTAACCATTGTTCTATAGCTCTCCCAAATTTCATGTAGTGGCTCATTCAGTTCTTGTTTGAATGCCAAGATCTCATCCTGAAGTATAGCAAGGTGTCCGGGAGACAAAAACTTAGTAATGAACTTGGCCGCCAACTCATCCCAAGTGTGTATTGAATGGTTCTGCAAACGTTCCAACCAATCTAAAGATTTCCCCTGTAGAGAGAAAGAAAAAATCCTTAGCCTCAATGCATCCTCGGAAGCATTAGTTTGCTTGCTCCCCCATCATGTATCCACAAAGCCCTTCAGATGTTTGCAAGCATTTTGGGTTGGTGCATCAGTGAGGAAGCCCCGTTGCTCAAGCAAAGTGAGCATCATGTTGGTGATTTGAAAGTTGCCCGCCCTAATACGGGGAGGAACTATAGCATAACCTTCGTTGGGCAATATTCGGTGTTGAGACGCTTGTGGTGGATGTGGTGGAGGTGGGGTTGGTACAGGCACGCTATCTTGTGGCACCCGGCCTTGCCTATTAGCTTGTGGCACTTGAGGTACCTCATACAGTTGTTCCTACTCACCGTCCAAGTCCCCCAAAGGCATATTTTCGTGCTCAATGTTCGCCGTGTTTATACCAAAGATTTTTTAAACAAGTTAGTAACACGGAAGGCAAAGAAGATATTTCAAAAACAACTAAAATATATAGCTAACACCGTGATAACTGCCCGGCAATGGCGCCAAAAATTGATCCACTCCCAATCCACACTCAACAATGAGTGGAGGAGGTCGTTGGAAGAATATTACCCAACTAAAATACGTTTCCAAACAAGATTGTTTTGCAAATTACGTCTACAATCTATACTAACAGTGATCAACTAGAGAAATGAAACTAGAGATTGATTAATTGTTTTTGGTTGTTTTCAAATAGGTAAAATTCCTAGGGATGTAACCTTCACCTAGGTTTTAGCCTAATGGGTTAATTACGTTACTACTTGTTTAAATAATCAGCGTGTATTATAGCTCTCAACTCTAAGTTACCCACTCAATACCTCTCGGTCATAGAATGATTTTGCCCAATTTGGCTTTCTCAAGCCCAAATGGGTATCAAGACAAATAGTTGATATGAGCTCAAGTCGAGTTTTCCTATCTCTAGATGAAACCCTTTAATTAGGATAGTCAAAACCTAAACTAGCCCAATTTCTTGTTAGCCAAGTTTTCCTAGACTAGGTACCTCTTTCTCAAGTAAAGACCAAGTCAAAAAGGAATGAATCAATGTTTGCAACCATTAATTATAAAATTAAAGCATGAACAAGGATAAATAACAAACACCCAATCATAAATAAGTATTCGATTAATTATCCATAAGGTTTACACACTAGGATTTTGTCACAACCCTAGAAAATATCTTGTTACTCAAAATGGAAATAGAAAAAAATAAAGAAAAAAATACTAATTAAACCCATAATAGCAAATCCAAATGATAAACTAATGTGTTTTTAACCCAAATTGGTCACAAATTACCAAAAATGGTAAACTACAACGGCAACAACTCAAAAAACTATCAAACTTGACCTAAAAAAGTGACTCTCGTCTATTTATAGTGGCCCAAAATTCGCTGACAAATATACCCTTCGGGAGGATCGGCGGTCGCACAATTCCATGTGCGGTCCGCACTTCACTTGGCTCTACAGATTGAAGATTATGGCGGCCACACAATTTGGTCTGTGGCAGCACTTTAACTTTTGCAGCCTCACTTTTCCTTCTGTGGCTACACCCTTGGCAACGTTCATACTTGGTCGTTTTGCAAACTCTCTGAACTTTTTGAATTCTTATCAGTGCGACCATGTTCAGCAGCCGCACAAATTGTGCGCGGTCTTCACTTTACTTCAATTATCATCTGAGCATCAACATCAGTTCTGCGGCCGCAGAATTACTTATGCGGACCACACTTTTGACTTATGCGCTCCTTCTTTCCTTATGAGCCGGAACACTTCTTTTAAGTTAGATTTCTTCATTTAAGTCCAATTCTCCAACATTCCTGCAATTTACACAATTTCATTAGTTTTAGGAACTCAAATCACCACTTTCGGACTAAAACTAAAGCAAGAAGGTACTAATAAGTTGTTGAAATCCATACTTATCACTCATGCACTTGTGACATCGGGTTTTAGGGATGTTCTAGAATTTGCTTATGGTTTTGCTTAACATTGACACACTTTTACTTTATATTTTATTTAAATTATATGTATCTACAATATTTGATGCATTAGTTTTTTTATCTAATAAAATTCAACAACAACCTAGTAAAATCCCACTAGTGGGGTCTGGGGAGGGTAGTGTGTACGCATACCTTACCCCTACCCCGAAGGAGTAGAGAGGTTGTTTCCAGAAGACCCTAGGCTCAAGAAAACAAAAAGACAAAAATGAGACAATATTAGTATCACCATAGAAATCGTAGGAAAAATAGGAACAATATGAAATCTAGAAGAAAGATGCAAAGCAAAAGCGAAAGCTAATCAAAAGGTCCTGCATTGAAAAGTGAAATAGTAAGACACAACATTGCCACTAACTATCTTAGACAAAAAATTCTACCAGACTAGTCTTATAAAGGTGCGAAGTAAGGCAAGACTCAACTACCTCCTAACATACAACCCTAATATTTGACCTTCACATCTTCCTATCAAGTGTCATGCCCTCGAAAATCCCAAGACTCGCCATATCCTGCCTGATCACCTCACCCCAATATTTCTTAGGTCGCCCTCTACCTCTTCTCGTGCCCTCCACAGCCAGCCGTTCACACCTCCTTACCGAAGCATCTGAGCTTCTCCTCTTAACATGCCCGAACCATCTTAGCCTCGATTCCTGCATCTTGGCATCAATGGGAGCTACATGCACCTTCTTCCGAATAACATCATTCCTAATCTTATCCATCGTAGTTTGCCCACAGATCCACCTCAACATCCTCATTTCTGCTACTTTCATCTTATGGATATGTGAGTTCTTAACAGACCAACACCTCAGCGCCATACATCATGGCTGGTCTAACCACCGCTTTCTAGAGCTTTCCTTTGAGTATCGGTGGGACTCTCTTATCACACAAGACTTCAGATGCTAACCTACACTTCATACATCCTATACCAATACGGTGTGTGACATCCTTGTCGATCTCCCCTCCCCCCTAGATAATCGACCCAATGTACTTGAAGTTGCCTCTACTTGGGATAACCTGTGATTCAAGCCTCACATTCACGCCACCTTCTACCGGCTCAATCACTCTAAACCTGCTCTCCTCACACACTTCCAAAATTCCATCGGAATCTCGTCTGGCCCAGTCGCTCTGCCCCTACTCATCTTACACATAGCTCCCACGACCTCCTGAACCTTGATGAGCCTGCAGCACTCAGAGTTACGGTGACTCTCGGAATGCTCCAATTCACCTAGCATAATATCCCGATCCCCTTCCTCATTCATAAGTTATGAAAGTAAGTCTGTTTATCGTGAAAATGGTAATGATAATTAAATTTATTAAATGTGACTCTAAAAATACGTGATCTATTCCCAAGCTAGTTTGTTAGAGCAGATGGTGCTAGTATTATGAATTTCAACCATGGGGGGGAGATAAACGAGGTAACGACCGAACGTTCTGCTACCCAGGCATAGGCTTGGTCGATTGGAACTTCGAGGTCGACCTCGAGATCGAGCTCGGTTTGTCGGGGACCCCCGGGAGAAGTATAACTGCTAGAGATATAATCAAACGAAGCTACTTATAACAGAAATTGAATTGTACGATGAAGAATACATGTAGAGACATAGAATATTGAAGTATCCTTAATATCAGTGAGAGCCAATAAGTATTAGTAAGAAAAGAGAGAGAGAGAGATATTATTGCACTTGTAGAATTGTGGGAGCCCTTCCGTCCTTTACAAGGTAGGGTGAGTCCCCTTTATATAGGAGGGGAACTCAGTTACAAACACATGAGTATTTAATTTACAAAATACGGCGATGGGATGGCTTGATGCGATGCCTCAGCGCAGGCTCTGGACAGGCCGGCCCTGTCAGACTCAGCCGCGTTTCTTAGGAGCTTCCCCATTTTGTCCTGGCCTCGGCCTCTGTCTGGCCTTGAATCGGGCCTTGACAAGCCCCGAAGGAGAGGCTAAGTTGTGGCTTCATGTCCTCGAGGTCTCGAGGAACCTCCCCGAGATTGCTTAATGGCGGGAAATCGGGCCCTCTGATTTCACCACGTACAGATAGTCTCCGTGTTTCTCAGAACGAAGCGATGGGAAACGATTATGACCATTGACTACTCAAACTCCTCATGGAGATAGTACACTGGAGATTCGCATCGTGGCGCAATATTTTGTGATAGATAGCATATCTCATAGACTCATGCTCAATACTCTGTCATTTCCGTTCTTCAAGGTAAAAAGTACTGCCGTCGATTCGGTTTTTCAAGGATGCAGTAATTACATTCGTCGGTCAGTCTTCCAGAACCTCGTTTCCCCCTATAAATGGGGTGCCTTGGCGTTATTTTTCAAAATTCCCACGAGCGCGCCGCTTTTCGGGGGGAATGCCTTCTCGCTTTTTGGATAGCCAGCTGTGGGGTTTTGTTCTGAATATTTTGCGGAGTTCCCCTCCGAGTGGCTTGCAGACGTTGCCGCATTAAAAACCTTGCCGGTAAAACCTTTCATTTTAGGATAAAAACTCGGTCGAAAGAAAAGAGTGCAACGGGTGCGCCTTCGGGGCTTCGGGGTTCTGTAGCAGTACTGATGTCTAGGCAGCTTCCATTTGGGTGTCTGCGCGAGGTTAATCTCGGATTTGAAAAAATAACATAAGAAAAGGAGCGGTTGTACCTTAAAGCTACATGTGCAGGCGACGTCTTGGGACTTAACCTATTATAACTTCCCGGGGACGGAGTTGCATCTTCGAGGGCGGACTGGGCTTCCGGGTTTCATCACTTGTACATCCTTCCATTCCTTCACTTTAGGAGTAGACTCCCGTGGGCTTTCATATTTGTATGTAAATGACCCCTCGAGGGCTGTTGTACATGGATTTTTATGAATATGTATATACCTTTGATTTATGCTTTCGATTTTTGCTTCATAATTGCATGTTTTCATACCCTCGGGGCCTCTTGAATGCCTTTTTTATTTCTTGACTGCTGATATCTGACTTGGGTGCGAGCGCCCTTTCTGCTCCTCTACTGATCGACATGGCTTTCTTTCGAGGCCATCGTTATACCTCGGAGCAATCCTGGATTGATCGGATAGTACCGGGCTGTCAGGGCCCTTCGAATTGTATATCGAATTTCAGGGCCTTCGAAAATGTTATCCTGGATGAATGCCAGCTTCGGGTACCAGGGGGTCCCCTTTGATTTTTGACGCGGACAACTTCCTTCAGACACGTACGAGATAGATTTTTTGCTGAGGAGTTGCCTATACTCAGGCACTTCTTCGAACCTTTGCGGAGCTTTTGCGATTGGAGCTTCTTGTGTGTATTCTTTCTTAGAAAGGGAATCACAAAATCTGAAATTACCTCGTGTTGAGTGATGGCGTGGAAAGCTTCCCGAATTCCGATTTCTCTTCGGTGGGGATCCTTGAGACGGGACGCTATCTCGAGCTTGAGATAATACGAATTGCTCCTCGAGTCTTGGCTTCTCGTCAAAGGATACTCTCGGGGTCGGGTACATCCCATTTCGGGGCCGGCATGGAAGATAGCGGAGAGCGCTATTCCCGGCGCTCGGGAGCCGAGGGAGTTCGTTCCGAAGACGGCATCTTTAATAAAGGGGGGAGAATTTGGAGATGGTGAGAAAATACTGCGGATGGAGTGAGGGGATAACACTGCAGGTGCTTCCCCCGGGAGGGAGTATCACGGATTCCACTGACGGATTCTCGAGCGTATACCTGTATCCTTTCGTGTTTTGGTCCCCTTGACAGGGTCGTGCTTGATTTTTGGTTGAAGTATCGGGTTACTTTGGCGCAAATACAGCCTTCCCTTTGGCGGGTGGTGCTGATGATGGATTCTTTGCGTAGAAGGCCAATCTTGAATTTACGCTCGATCACCTCATCCGCCTGTATCGGCCTTTTCATCACCAGGGTCTGCTAACCCTGAAGTGTCGTTCATCCAAGACCTTGCTGTCGATGGCGAAGAGGAGGAGGGTCGAGAATGAGCTGGTTGGTTCGTCCAGATCCGGACGGTCGACATTATCCCCGTGGAGTTTTTGCCATTTCACGAAGGGTGGAATTACGCACGTGAGTGGGGCGTCTGGTGCTTTTCAGGTTGTACCTTGTTGTAGCAACTTCATGGACGCCGGGCGAAGTCTCTGACCTGCTCGGCTGGGTCCGGAGGCTGGTGACCCACTAGGCCTGCGATGAGCGTTGGTGGCGAGCTGTGCTTCGCGCCAGGTGGGGAGCGAAACATGTGCGCATGCTGCCTTTGCCTTGGCCTTCGTATATTTGAGGTAATATTTTCCCCTTTTTACTTGTACTGGATTTGCCGCTTGCAGGTATCGGGCAGTTCCTTGGGATGAGGCAGTGCTCTTCCGAAGAGGGGAAGGAGTCGTTGGCCTCCGAATCGAGGTATGATGGCGATAAGAGGGGTCAGCACCCACGAGTACCCACGGTTGGGCCAGTGTTTCCAAGGAGAGGGTATCGTCTGGGTCTGCTGCTTCCAGAGTACCTGATTCCAGGTCGGCGCTGTCTTCAAGTGAATATGCTTTGCCCGAGGCCGGTTCTCCCTGGGCTGAAGGGGCAGGATCAACAGGAGTATGTTCCGACTCCGAGGAAGTCCGTCGGCTTCACTTAGTGCTGAGTTTAGGCACAGTTTCTTTGTATTACGCATCTTTCACCCATCATTGAGTTTTCCTTGTGTAGACCTGTGACAGGCTTACGTCTGAGCTGGTTCGTCAAGGGGTCAAGATTTTAGAAAATTCAGGGTGAGGGAGAATCTCTTAGGCTGCTTAGTGAGGAGAAGGAGGGCGAGTTGCTACATTGGCGATGTGAGGCGTACCGGAGCTCGAATTATGAGAGCTATTTGATGGAG